TGGAAAATTTGTAGTATCTCATTAGTATTAAGCCTTTGATGCATGGTTGTTCAAGTAAATACTTTTACCTTTAACAAAGTTAGAACTTTCCAAAACACTTTGGCAATGTGAAAACTTGTTAAAGGAATGAATTTTAATGAGATAATTAAAGAAAGACTTGCTATTGTATAGCCCTAATGATTCCATTGACGAAGTTCTGGTGTCAGGTTGGGAGGATAGATGAGTAAGTTTCGACTGTCACAATAGATTTGCACTTCAAGAGTTTCTCAATTTAGAAGGTTACGGGTGAAGTGGAAGTTCCAAATCATGCTACTTTCACTAGTGAAAATGAATTGAGAGACTGGAATATTATGTTTAGATGATAGGTTAAGTAGAGAAGTGAGTGGCTAAAAGTTGGACTCACCCAGATGGCTTCCCAAAACGTCACTTTAGATCCATCTCCCCCCATGTAATTACTTTAGGGGCAGAAACAAAGGAAAGGCTTGGGAGATGGATTTACTTGTTATCAATTTAGTGATTCAGGTAAGTAAGGTATCTTTTAACATTTCTAGATGGGAGTTTCCTAGTGGAAAATTAAATTAAGAACTGAATTTTTCCATGTCTGTTCTTTGTTGTTTACTTCTTTGTCTTCCAAGTCCCAAAGTTAAATGATTCTTGAACTAACTTGTGGAATTTTTTTTTAATTAAAAACTAACTGGTGGAATTATCAAGAGATTAAATGGTCACAATGGTCTTAGTATAATTTATGTGTCTCTCTTCCGTTCATGGATAACTCTAGCAACTCTTAGTATTTCAGCTGCCTTCTATTTTTCCTTATGGAGATAAAGATTAAAAATGTAGTTCAGTTCCTTTTCTCCATTTATTTGACTTTTTCTTCATAATCCCTAGTGGATTTGTAGTTTGAGCAATCTCAATATATGTTGAAAAATAATTGTATACTTGGTAAAAATTAAAAAAAAAAGAAATCTTTTTTTTTAATAGAATTAAAAGAATTTATTATCCCATGAAATATGCAATTGCGACCAAAATTGTGGGGATAATTTTGGAAACAGGTGCTCAGTTGTCTTCATTGTTGGGCTTTATCTGTACGTAATGTGAATTCCTTCAGTATGGCCAAGATGATATTGGCTTTCTGTTAATGATAAACACCAGTTGCTAGTCTCACTATTTGTTATTGATGGGATAGTAATAGAGATCACATGGAGTTTGCTCATGTATAATATCAAAATACCATATTGCTAGTAATGGCGATCCTATTGATGATGATATTGGCTTGCAGTTAATGATAAATACCGGTTGCTAGTCCCATTATTTGTTATAGATGAGATAGTAATGGGGATCATATGGAGTTTGTTTATGTATAACGCCAAAATGTGGATGTAGGTGTAGCTTAGATGCATAAATTTGAAAAGGAAAACGATCAATTCAAATGAGGGTTTGATATTGCTAGTCCCATTATTTGTTATAGATGAGATAGTAATGGGGATCATATGGAGTTTGTTTATGTATAACGCCAAAATGTGGATGTAGGTGTAGCTTAGATGCATAAATTTGAAAAGGAAAACGATCAATTCAAATGAGGGTTTGATATTGTTGAGAATGGTTGATATGTATTCTATTGAGTATTACAACACTTCATATACATGTTTTTTAGGTTGGAAAAGGATATAGACTTTATATTCTCTTTAACGCTCCTCTCAAGTTGGGAAATAAATATTGTTAATTCCAACTTGCTAATGAGAGTTTGGAATGCTAGATTGCTTGCGTCCTTATTTAACATATCTGTTAATTGAGAATTGGTGGGTATGCATGAAGTACATATTAGACCACTGTTAAGTTTTTCTTTGATAAAATGTCTGTCAATTTTGATGTATTTGGTTTTGTTGTATTGCACCAGATTGTGAGCGATGTTTATTTACGAGTTGTTGTCATGGTATAGGTGCATAAGGTTTTTCCACTTGATTTTAAGATCTTCCAAAATTCTTTTATTCATATTAATTCACATATCATTTGTGCCATTATCTGGAACTCTGATTTTGTACTTGATATTGTAACTATATTTTGTTTTTTATTTCTCTAGATGACTATGTAGTGCCCTTAAGGAATATACAATAGTTTGTAATAGATTTTATCTACCACTAACCTTGCATAATCTACACCAATACAGGCTTGTAAGAGCAATTTGTCATTTTTCTTGAACATTATTCATTTCCCTGATGACCATTTTAAGTATTGCAGTATTCTATAGGCTGCTTGTAGCATTTCTTTCAGGTTATGCATGAATTGACTTGCAACATTTACTGCACAAGTGGTGTCTGGTCTCATGTGAAATAGGTAGATCAATGTCCCAACTAATTTATGACACATTTCCTTATTTACTAGCATATCTTCCGTTATTATTCCTAATTTGTCATTAGAATTAATAGGAATACTAGCTGGTTTGTATTCTAATTTGTAGTGTTTTTTAACAGGTTATGAATGTATTTATGTTGAAAAATAAAAGTCTCTTATT